GGAATTTTTACTGTGCAGGGGACATTGAGATCCGACTCAGCATGTTTGACCATGGTGGAAAACCAATCTCAGTGTGCTGCGTCCTGACTGACTGACTGATTTACTGAGTGGATATGTCACAGTGCATACTGTAAAGCTCAATCCAAAATCTTGATTTCTTACCACACATGCACTGGCCCCACACCTGCTCACACCATTTGTTACAAAGATTCTGTACCATTAGTTTCTTTAAAATGCTATTCCCACGCCTCGGTTTTATGGAAACAGTAATATCCAAGTTGTTAAGTTACAGGCAGAGACTACAGACATACTAAATCTGAAGCTACGCCATCCTAAAAGTTACACCTTAGGGCCAAAAGCTATGCAATAAAGTTTGGTTCACTTCACTCACTTGATTGAAGAGACAGGATTTTAATGGTTCTAACCAGTGAACCATTCTTTTCAGGTTAGCGTAAAATCAATCTGCAACGTGAGGCATTCACATTGTTGGTTTAAGAGGTTAGAGTGATAGTTCAGCATTATGCAAAATACAGTTGCTTACTTTCTTGTCAAAAATTAAACTAAAAGATCAAATTTTGTGTCTAACAGGAGGAAACAGCCACTGTGTATACCAGAGGTTTCCAGGGGTGTCATATGTGTCAAACCCATTTTAGTTCATGGGCCACATGCAGTCCCAGTTCACTGGCCTGTAAAACCCATGCATAATAATATGTATAAAATAATAATGATGATAATAAGACGAAAAACCTTGAAAATTTCCCCAGTGGAATGAAACATTAAAAAGCCCACATTTAATGAACCAGCTTTTTACAAAACAGACGACGAACAGCCTGAAGTGTCTCATTGAAAACAAAATACTCTAAGCTTAATTCAACAGTACATCTCAGTTTTTTCACATTTGCTCATCTTCACATGAAGTAGGCCACTTAGATCCTAACAACAACCAAATTTTACATCTTTATGAGTCAAATAACTTTTGTCAACATCTTTCAAAACTTGTAAAATTACCCAGACATTCCCAACCTCTGCAGTAATGCTGCAATCACCTAATTTTCAGCAATAGCATTCTCTTCCTTTGAAGTGCTGTAATTATTAATGACTTTGCTGCACTTTTACACATTGCAAACCCATGCGCTGGGTCCAATTGGATCCTTTGGCAGGCTGGCTCTGGCTCCATATGTTTGAGGCTCCTTCTCTAAGGAGTCACTACTTCTAGCCAAGAAAAAGCTTCAGCTTTATATTTAACAGACGTACATGGGAGTGGTAACTCTTAACATCTAGGCCTGTAATGTACAGTATCATGCCAAAAACATGCTAGTTGTAGGGCTGCGCGGCGTATGTGTCACGCCTTCCACTACACACTCATTGCATAATGCTAATTGTATCATTCAATTGAGAATACAAAGCTTAGTAAACAAATCCAATAGAGTGGGATATGCCACCGGAGTGTAAACATTAAATTGACTTAGCCCTGTGTCTTCCCTCACAATTGCAGTGCAGTGGGTTACAGTGGCCATATGGGCTCTGTCAAGCATTACTGTCACCCCTCATTTAGAATAGTGAGGAGAGATGGCCCTGCTATGCCCCTCAAATCCTCTTAGCCAACATTTAGCTGATTGATTTTTTCTCCCCCTCCTACCTCGATTTAGATCATCAATGCGATAAAAGCAGGAAGTTGTATATTATGAATTCCATTTCGTCTCATGTGGAGATGGATGGACGGGTAAAAGGAACATAAATGTTTCAGCAATCACTGCGTCTGGAAGAAAAATATCCAGGCAGCGTTATTAAATTTAAAGGCGGCGCAAACTCAGTAAAAGAAGCGAATGATCTGAGTGTGATTCAATCCTTTCGGCAAATAACCTGTGTCACATGGAGGAGGACTCGTCGCCTGTTGTGATTGCATATATATAAAAAGTTTGTCCGGTTATTTAAGAATAAATGTACTTCTTCAATTACATAAAAGTTTTGCTGCTGTGTTTTAGTGGGAGCTGGCAAAATCAACTTTGAATCACATGCGCATTATAATGATGTCTTTTTAAAAATTATTCACCCCCCTGTCTGTTTAATTCTTAGTGCCGGCCTCCATCACAAAGAACCATGGTAATAGTTTTGACTCAGCAGAATAGCATTAAGTCGGTTCCTCTTAAACAATGTATTCCCCTTCAGGCTATAGAAACCACTCTGTGCATTAAACAAACATCTCAGGCCTCTTGAACATGACGTTCAGCTCCATGTTGGCTGGGTTTGGGGATTCCAGCAGACCGAGTCCTATGTGTTCTCCAGATGGCACCACACACTGTCTCTCACAGATTGTATATACCCCCGAGATCCCTCATAAATTCAAATGATTGCCTCCTCCCCACCCCCATCCTCTCCCCTTGAACTATACTAAATGATGATCATGGAGATTATGTATTAGTAATTCCTGCCAGGTCTTTAAAAGAATGCCCATGCTGTGTGCTTAATACTCAAAGGAGGGATTATGCAGACCCCTACATGTGGTGTTGTGGCTGCATACCTCCAGTCAGACTAAACCCAATCTGTTACAGATTTGGACTAAAAGAAGAGAGGTGCAGCAAGCAAGCAGGGGGGTAGGTGGAAGGTTGCGCAGGCCATATTCATACTTTACAGTACATTCCACTTCTTCTATATCATGGGGGATCAGAGCTAAATCTCCCTTTGGAGGTTGTATTTTTATCTGTGTGCATAAGGACGTTAAAAAAAAAGAAAGAACCTTGGCTTGTGTCAAGGCTATACGCTTTATTATTTTTCTCTCAATCTCTCTTTTTCTCCTTCATTTTTTATTTTCCCTTTGTGGTCGAGGCAATCCCAAATCCCCATACAGTTTCCCCTTGAATGTGGGTCCAATTAAACACATATGTGGATTTTCATATTGAAGCTCATAAAAGGTAAACGGCAGTGATTTACATTACATTTACATAAGGAATGCTAAGTGCCTGCACATGTGAGGTGTTAATACATCTATCAAAAGCAGATGGTCATCTCTATTCATTGCTCTCACCCCGATTGTTTCATTGACCAAAAGAATCTCATGAGCAGGGATGTTATTTTCGAAACATGGAAAAAAAACCATAAGCATATTATTTGTTATGAGGAAAGGGCAAACATCTAAACATTTGGAAATATCTACCAAGTCACCAGTCTGTTTCAACCAACAGGTGACGTCTTTTTTTGCTTTATCAGAGTAAACTCCTGTCTTAGTCACTATGTTAGCAGCAGCCTGGGTCTAAAGGGCACGTACAGAATGTCTGTTATAAGTTAACTTTTTATTGCATTTGTGTAAACAGTAAAATTTGATTTACTGGTACATCCTACACATCCTTTACAGCACATAATTCCAAGAGATCGTTTGGCAATGAATGCTTTTTCTGTGGAGTTCGGGAACTTGGCATGAGTGATCCGGTTAGACTTTATGAGTTAGATCAGCCAACGTGTAAAGGTTTGTGTGCTGTTAAGTGAATGATTTAATGCCACAGCTATCAGTGGCCAAAGTGTAGCAAATCATTAGAGGTGTAATGGTTTAAAGTCCAAAGGCTGCTCTCTGGTTGTGTCCTCCCATGTGCATTTGTGTTTCAAGATTTTCAGGCCACTTGTGTACATTGAATGTGAGTTGGCATCAGTTTGGCCCCTTAACAAATAGATGAATAATTTGTATTATGCTAAACAACCACATGTAGATATATGCCACAAGTATGCTAATGTGGTAAGCTGCGAATTTTAAACATGTTCATTTAAAAATTCATATTTAAATCCTTGCCTTTACTAAAGTAGCTTCGCATGACTTACACTTCTAAACGATCCGTCTTAAACCGAGACTCGGTCTGAAACAAACTGCTACTCTGTCTTTATGCCAACTTTCCTCTGATTGGCTGCCCTTCAAAAATGGAGAGCTTGAACACCATGTGGGTGGGGTGCCGTGTTCAGACAGAGAAATGCGTCCAAGATGACCATTTTATAGAGATTGTCCCCATTTTTTGACATCATACAGATCCATCCATCTTCTTCCACTTATTCAATTCAGGTTCGTGGGAGGCTGTTGCCTAGCTCAGGTGTAGTAGGGTGAGAGTGAGAGGTTGTACACCTTGGAGAAGTCGCCAGTTTGTTGCAGGGCAACTTGAGACAGACAACCTTCAAACTCACCATCACACAAGCGGTCATTTTAGAAACACTTCATGTAGATCCAAGAGTAGAAAAAACTCTGAAAGAGTTCTGTGCCCCTCACCCCAACTGGTCATACAGATAGCCATCCCTCCCAAAGCCTGGTTCTTCCCTAGGTTTCTACAATATAAAGCACCTTGAGGCAACTGTTGTTGTGATTTGGCGCTATATAAATAAAACTGCATTGAATTGCACTTGGTTGATAGCAATTACTTGTATACATAAGCTGGCCTCATAATTTGATTTGTTTAATAGAAGCATCCACAACTGTAACAGGACATGTATGATGGAAAAAAAGGAAAAGTATAATAGGTCAACTTTAGAGATCGCTCACAAATAAAGCAGAGCAAACTTGGTTTGTTAATTTGTTATTTATTTAATTCAAGTGATCAAACCTGTGGCTCTCTATTTTTTTTAAAACTAAGTTTGACAATTCCTTAATTCTTCTTCATCACCATCATCATAATATTTTCTTTATATGGCAAAAAAAAGAAAGACAAAGCAAATATTTCTTTGTATTTAAGAATAAGGTTAGCAGCACATTTCAGTCATTTGTTTACCAGTATCACATACCAAATAATATATGGGGAACATCCTCAGTGATTCTCCTTTCCAAATAAATGTATTCAGACCATTACAGTAACAGCGTGTGTCTCTAGTGCTTTGCTCAGAGACGGAGTACTGCTGCCCCCTAGCGCTGAAACGGCGCCAACGTTTCACTGCCGGAGCACAGTAAAGACGCCGATTAAGAACAGTCTGAAACGCTGATTGAATTCTAACAACCACGGCAACACAATGAAACAGAAGGTGAGTCTGTAATAATTTAAACAATTTGAATTTATTCAGTGTTTCCTTCCTTAATCCATTTTTCTTTTGCAAACATTCTGTCAGCAGACGAAGTTTACACGTTAATCTTCTGTTTCTTTTCATGAGAAGCGCTGCTCATTAACTTACAATCAAGCAAGGTTGGGGGAAAAAAATCCAAAGTATTGTGTGCGAGAAAACAAGTTTTCACTATCTGCCAGTCGGTGCCGTTATCAGTCAAGCCACACGCCCCCGTGAAAACAGGGAATTAAACACCCAAATGCACACACATACACTCACGCACACACACAGACAAACATCAGACTATTTGAAATCCAAAACAGCGATGCACAAACAGAAGTGTGGAAACTAGTGATTAGCTGTGCAGCAGAGGTATAATTGGAGCCTCTAATTACAGTATTGCCTCATTGTTCCTCTCTACCTCTAATTTACCACATTTACATCCCAGAAAAACAATCACTTTGGTTGGGATCATAATGGCTGAATGACTAGCATTAGCTGTGGTTAAACACAGATTTAGTTATAGATGCAATAAAAGCTCTTTTGTATTCACATAATGTTCATATCTCTGAAACAAAAGAGAACCATTAAGGACACGAAATGACAGAATAAAAGCTTCTACATGAAAGACGACACTGTGTGAAGCTATGTATACATTAGCATTATAAATGTATGCAGTATAGCCTGGCTACAAGTGCAAGCATCAAAGATATAATTACATATCAGGTGCTGGATAGTCCAGACACTACTTAAGCAGTAACTCTTGCAAAACTGCATGTAACAAAAATGTAAGAAACATAATTACATTGCATATTTGTTGCTATAGAAACATTTTCTTGTAGAAGAAAATTAAATACAAATCAAAGTCGCTGAGATGTCTAACTTTTCGCTCTAGCTTTGTAAATACTTCACAAATTAACCAAATACATTCCCGATTACCAACTTCAGATCAACCATTATTTAAATTGGAAACTCGCGGCTGGATGGTCACCCGTCTGACCGGAGTCTGATCTGCGTTGCGATTGGCTACCAGCTCTTGAAGCTGTAGGGCCCCTCCACCAATGAAACAGAAAGCGGGGCACACGGGGCCGGTGCAATCCACGTGGCCTTCCCAAAGAGGCCGCAAGGAATGGGCATCGTAGAACGTGACGCGCCCTTTCTCAAAGTCAAGGCACACACCGAGCCGGGGCGGCAGCGGGTAAGTGAGGCCAGCGGGCGATGAATGGCCGTTGCTGTTGGTATCCCGCTGTTGATGGTGGTAGCTGTGCTGCGGCAGGTAGATTTTACCCATCCCCATAGTCAGAAAGCAGAAGGGCGGCGCAGAATCCAGGGCATCCTCTGCGCCGCTGTCATGGCCGCTGTCTGGGTCGTAGCTGCAGAGAGACAGAGCGAGCTCTTAAGTTCTTTTCTGACCACCGGCTTTCTTTCTTTAAACTAGTTTTTGTGGTGTTGCAGTCACAGCATGTGTGACAAATGTTGGCAGGTGGAGTCAAGTATTTAGAGCCTCCTACTTTTTGCACACCTAAGATTTTGTTTATACTAAATTAAACCTAATCTGTAATCCTATTTGAAGAGTGGATCCTAAATACACATAAATAAGCATTAATATTGTAGTAAATCGTAATTTGCATGTTCATCACTGCTGGAGTTAAAATCTATTAGGCTGGATCTGGAGCTGTCATATTTTCTTTGCTCACCGGGGACTGGCCATGTCTTGTGGAAGGTGAAACCACTCCTGCAGTTTGGATTCCAGGCCCACTCCCACCTGTTCCAAAAAGAAAAGAGAAACAACCATTGTGTAATTGATAAAGAACTTATTTTTATAGCAAACCTCATTTAAGTTATCCAATTTTGTCCTTATTTTAATTAAGTGGATGCATTTTAAAGAATGGATTAGCCTTTTTCTTAAAACAATAGGAGTAACCATTGAAGCTCTTTTCTGAACTGAGCAGCTACCCTTGATTAAAAACCTGGAAACTATTCTAATGCTCATCAGACAATATCTTTATTAATATATACGAGGTATCAAAACCCATCATTAAGAATACATGGGAAGCTGTTGTATGTCGCCCTTATTGGGGTAAATAAGGGTGACATATTTGATATGTCAGCCTTTTTGATATTGGCTGGGGCCTTTCTGGTACTCAGACGTCGTCCCAAGTAAGTTAAGTTAATTGGCAATTCTAATTTGTCCATAGGTGTGAAGGGTTGTCTGCCTCTCAATCTATGGCAGCTGGAATCTGCATTGAGAAAATAAATGATGTAGTTAAAACTCTGGAGTTTATATTACCTTTAAATAGAGCCATGGAGAAAAAGAGAATTACAGTTATTAGGTATATTAGTTTCAGTATAGTTTGGGTTATTTCACAAGCTGGAACCATTTCCTCATTTAGATTCGACAGCATTTCTAATAGATAACAGCAGATGGCGTAAGCATGAATTGAGGCTGCACTTTGGGGAAAGCCTCAGAGGGGATTGGCTGCGACTCCTAGACAAGGCAGATCCCCATCTACTAATGAGAGGTAAATAAATTGGAAAAGGGAGCAAGGGTGAGGCACGGAAATGAGAACAAACTGCTTGTAGTCCGCGTGGTGGGTTTATGTGTTCTCTGGGTTTGTGTCACTATTATAAGTGGATTAGGGCTCATTTTAAAAAGGAAGGCGGCAGACAGTGTGTTTAAATTCACACACACTTTGTCATTTCATTCAAACATTTCATTTTGGTTGAATGAAATGACAGAAGGCTGATCTTACATTGTACCAAATATGATGAAATCACACTTTAACTTCATTAACATATCATTCCCATTGAACCTTCCTCACATCAACTCTGAGGACATTTTAAATTTAGATTTTATGATTTTTTTTAATACCCTTAAAGCCGTACATCTCGGACCTCTGGGTATCACACAGGCCAGTTTGTACTTTGAGATTGTTTGGACAAAGAGGCCATTTGTCTGTTCTAGTGCTCTTCTTCAAACTAAAATAGAAACTGTTAAAAGGTAGTTTGCAGTCACGACATAAAAACACAAATTTTATTTTCCTTGAGTTTCACCGACCACATTTGTTTTTATTAGTCTTTCTTAATCTGATGACCTGTGGCCTTAAGCAGTGCTCAAATTTGGTACTTTTTTTAAGAAGATTAAAGCATTTTTAATCTGGAATATTTAGGTTTTTTTTAAAAAAGTCTATACTATACTCTACACACAGTAATGGGAATATTGACCTGGCAGTACGTTTTCATGAAATGCTCAGTTCAATTCAGTTTTATTTAAATGGTGCCAAATCACAAGGACTTAAGGCACTTTATATTATAAGTATAAATCCTGCAATAATATGGAGAAAACAGAAAACCCCAACAATCAGATTAAACCCTATGAGCAAGCACTTTGTCAACAGTGGGGGGGCGGTGGGGGGCTGAGGGGAGGAAGACAGAACAGAGACACTTTGCGGAAAAAAAGGCAAAGATTAATAATAACCAATGATTGTTGAAATGTGTGCACATGAATTCACTTGCCTTCACAAGGTAAGACCCAGGCTCCACTGAGCATGCCCAGTAGTGCCGTCCTTGTGTAATGGCTACATCCCCTACAAGTAGGTCAGAAGTCAGGTGACAGGAAGTTAGGGCGTGGTCGGCAGCCTGCAGCAGAGAGAGACCAGGAACGCTGCGGGCACAACGCTGCTCTTTGCTGACCACCAGGCGGTCGGCGTGGAGACCCCAGCGAGAGTCCAGGTAGAAGTTAAGCACTGAGAGGAGAGAGTGTGACAGAGGACACAGCAGAGGGAGGGGAGAGAAGAAGAGAATGGAGGCAAGAAAGAGGGAAAATTGAGAAAACAAAGGGACAGGTGCATACAGAGATGACACATGGGGGTTTTAGAAGTGACAGGAGGTGACAGACAGATTTACAATCAGAAAACGGCAAAGAGAAAAACAGTGAGGAGAATAAGAAGCAGCTGAGAGGAGAGCCAAGAGGGAGAGGACCACAGAGTAGGCATGCACCTCCTTCCACCAGCACTGGAAGAGAAAAGGACACTGGTCCACACAATGCACTGATGACTCAGGAAGTAAAATACAGAAGCTTTGGCAGCGTTAAGTGCAGTATTTCCACAGGAAGTACAGTGGGAAGATATGCAATAGCAGGAAGGAAACAACAGCCAACAAGGACACGAGGAATTCAACAATCACTCAAATTGATGGTTAAAAAGCCCTAGATCTGAATCAGATCCATGTTGTTAAGCCTCAGGTCTTAACAAACCGCAAACCTCATCAGCACTCAGAGAGATTTCGTTACAGGAGCTAAAGTGGGAGGCGGAGGGATGAGTGGGTGTCTAAGCAGGGGTGGAAGAACAGAGGATGTGTGGGATGACCGTAAAGAGAAACAGGGAAAAGACCAAATAATTTAGTGGTATGGGGTACAGAGATTTGGTGAGAGGATACGTATGAGTGCACTTCTTACGTTCTGTAGGAGGCACGTAGTTTGGCAGCGTGGAAGTAGCACAGTTGAGGATGACAAGTAGAAAGCTGTGAAATGGAAATAATACATGAGAGAAAGATGAGGAAATAAAGAGTAAGAAAGTGAAGATGATTCAAAAGTGAAGAGAGAGAGAGAAGTGGAAATAAGTGAGAAAGGAAAAATTGGAATGACAGAAAAGAAAAGAGAATGGATTTTTAAGCATTTCACCACAGCAAGCATTCCAATGCTTTCATTTTAAATGAAAAAACAAAAAATGGGTGCGATGTGGTGAACGTGTCAAGTGTGTGTGATGCATTTTACACTCAACAGAGGGATAAACCATCCAAATTCATATCTCCTTTCATAGTAATTATAACATATTTGATACTGTCTAAAGACCTTGGGGTCTTGAGGTACAGCAAATGTATTTGGAAGAGTAACAGAGATGCCTGCTGTATTTAGCTACGCTAGTTTAAAAAAAACAAAAAAAAAAACACAAAAGACGTTGTGAGCCAAGAACTGTTTACTGGGTGTTTACTCTGGGTATGTTTTCTTACAGTTTTACCTCCAGCATGCACAGTTACTGTGAGCTAAGTTAATGTTGGTGCCAGTTTCTGTGTTTCTGTTACAAGCAACGTGCCTGCATGGCGAGAGAAACAGACAAAATAAATCAGAAAATAAAGTCCAAGTAATAAAGCTTTCACCAAGAAAAGTGGGCTGCGTGTTTACACCGTTTTTCTTGTTTATTTATTTTCTGCAGTTGCTTTTGTTTCAGGTATTAATATTTTCATACTTTTGAGGATTATGGTTTGTACAGTGCACATTGTTAACCCTGCAAGATGTGAATGACACTAAAACACATGCAGTTCATTAAGGTGTGCTAAGAGTCTCCTGACGATTCTTCCATGTTGGGAGCTGGGACTAAAATCAGGTTGGACTGCTCCTTTAAACCAGCTCTGCATAAGAGTCTAACCTAAAGGTGTTCAAGGGAATCTGATCGCAGGTCAGTTAAATTAAACTACTCGTGGAATGTACATAACAAGCAAATTTTTATCACATTATGGCTTTTCAAGTGACTTAAAATGTGACTCTTGTCTAACAAATTTACAGTTTCTGTACAGTGCTGTGATTGTACTGTTGAAGTATTTTCCACCTTCCTGATTTCTTAGTTTCATGCATATTTATCCCAAATGTAATGTTTCAGATCATCAATTGAATTCTAATATTAGAAAAATATTACCAGAGTAAATACAAAATGCTGTTTTTAAATAGTGATTTCATTAATTAAAGTGGAAAAAGTTACCTGGACCTGTATGGAAAAAGTAATTATCTCCCTTGTTAAATCCTTAATTAACTGTGATTAACAACATTTTTTTGGACAGATGAATTTAATTTAACATGTCACACCCAGGCCCGATTGAATCAAGAATCACTTAAAAAGAAGCTGTCTGATAGTGAAGTAAGCTAAAAGATCTGAAAAAGCAACACATTATGCCACAATCTAAAGGAAAAGATGAGAAACAAAATGAGTGACATCTCTCAGTCTTGAAAGGGTTACCAAGGCCATTTCTAAGACTTTGGGCCATCAACAAACCACAGAGTCCTCCTCCACTCTTTAACCAGGGGTGGCCAGCCAAAGAAAAAAGCCAAAAAACATACTGATAATCCCAAAGACTTTTGAGAAAATATTCAGTGGACTGATGACTGAGACTAAAGTTGAACCTTTTGGAAGGTTTTGAAGGTTTGCTGCTCATAAAATCCAAGATAAAACTAACATAAAAGCACTCGTGCAACAGTCAAATATGGTTGTGGTAGTGTGACACGCAAAACCCTCCAGTTTGGCAGAATTGAAACAAAAGTCCTCCAGAGCCGGACTGACTGGGAGAATCACTCACTGGCAGGTGTTGCAAAAGCTGGATTGCAGTTCTTGCTGCCATCACAACCAATGACTAGGTTTAGGGGGCAATTATTTGTTCACACATGGCCGTGTAGGCTTGGATAGCTTCCCCCCCCCTTGCTGAGAATTAAAATCATCATACAAAAACGTGCTTTATGTATTTGCATCATCTTCGTCTAATACTAAAATTAGTTTGATGATCTCAAACATGTAAGTGTGACATATGAAGAAAACTAAGACAGATGGGGCGAATACTTTTACACAACAGTGTTCATACACAGCATGTTTATTATCAGTTAGCTTGGTGAAAGAGAGATACAATCATAAGGTGATAATTCTGACAAAGTCACAGTGCTTACAGAGGCTGCTTGTGCAGAAAATTTAAAAAACTTTATGCAGGAAACCATCTAAACCTTTTTGAAGCAATGCCTGAAAGTCACTGCACTTTAAACTGGGATGCAATTGCTTGGTGTCATAGTCATGATTATTAATTGGGGTAAATGTTGAGTCGGCAGATAAGATCTCATAAATAAAACATTGACTCCCAAAAATATATATGGTATAAAACTGGTTGTAGTCCAGTTTCAAGGTGTGGTTGCTTTCCCAGGACAATCTGTGACATGCATGTAAACAACCTCACGTCAAACTAGTTTGACATGTTTCTGGTTTGTTTTGTTTTTTCCTCAAACAGCCATGTTGTTTGGGTGTGTTTACACTGTGACAAAGTCGTCCTGTTCAGTTGTTAATAAGGACAACTAAGAAGCTCGGTGTGTGCCCTCACCTGGTGCAGGCGGGGTGTGCAGGTACACCTCCTCACTGTACTCTCCGTAGCCCGCCTTGTTGCAGCCTCTCACCCGCAGCACGTACACGCTGTCCATTTCCAACCTGTCAATCACAGCGCTGCTTCCACTCACTTCGTCCATTCGCTGCCAGCCCCAGCGTGCAGCAGCCAGTCCTCCTCTGATCCCACCTCTGGACGCTCCTCCTGGTACTACACCACGACGGCGATACTCTACAGAAAAGTGCCAGGATGGTGAAGACTCCGGGGGCAGTCGCCAGCACAAGAACAGCTGGTCGTAGGCCAGACTACGCTGGGTATCGATCACTGGAGCCAAGGGCACTATGGCAATAACATAATAATTAGATCAAATTTTTAAGTTATGTTATATATGTAATAATAATAATTCTATAACCCACTCGCATGTAGTTGGTATGAAATTATTTAGACAGTGAATGTTTAATTAGAAAGTTAATAGAAAACTTGCTCTTACGCTATTTCATTCGTATCTTTTTTTTTTTAACCTTCAACTAGAACCCTCCTCACCCTGGATGAAGTTCAACTCTGTCAGGAGTTTAAGTTCTTTGGAGACGTCCAGCTGGAAGTGTCTGAATGATGGATCGGCCGCTAGTGTGAAATGTTGCAGATTCTCAATTGCTTTACTCAGCCTAGTGCAGTGAAAACAGGGAGAGCGGCGTCAGAGGAATCAAAGGCTTTCAGGAGGGACAGTGAGGAAGACTCACAGTTTAAAAGGATGTATGAAAAAGAAAATACATTAATAAATAAAAGATAAGACTGCTTTTAATCTATATTTCTATTATAATAAAAAACATAAGCAGCACATTAGTGACATCCCTTCAGTTTTTATTTCCAGATACTGTGCTGTATGTGGGGCTTTCCATATTTCCTTTCACATATTTACATTTGAACCTAGCCAGGGTGTTCCCTGCCTCCTCTCTGATGGATATTTACTTTTATAATAATAGATGCAACAATAAACTGAACTTTCAAATAATGAGTTAAGGGTATGCACAAATAGTCCCAGTAAATGTAATAAAATAGGCAGCCAGTCATAAGAATGTAGGCCCAAAGATGCACGGGAGGTAAAACAGCTTGTTACAGAAAGAAAATAACAAAGGGGCTTATTATTATATAAATAAGACTCATGCAAAGCAACTCCAAGAATAAAAATATGGTACTGGAAACTTTGACAATACACACATTTTGTGCTATTCTTTGGATTTACTGACAACACTGCTTATGCGGTTTCTTTATTTGGCAAGATGATCAACATGAATCCTATATTGGAACCAATGAAGTTATGATTCCTATACATTCTAAGGCTGCTTCTTCTACCCTGAAGCCAAACAACACGGAGAAGAATGCACGAAGAGAAGTCTCTGAAGATTTCCCCTCAAAAAAAGAAAGAAAGCGCTAATCTAAGATCTATTCAAATCAGAGAGTGATTACTTAACGTAAACAAAAAGGAAACCTGTTATGAGTCTGGCGAGAAGCCTGCACAAAACAGGGCTGATCTGTTTCTTTCAGCAGTTCCTGCGTGTACGCCATGAGCCCAGCGTGCTCCAACAAGCCACGTCTCTCCGCCACTTGAGCAGCCAGTGCCTCGCCTCGTTTCTGCCGTGCCCCCTCCAGAGCCTGGGTGAGCGAAGCGTGACGCTCGGCGAGAGCGGCCGTCAAATCCCTGATGCTCTGAGCCAGCTGCTCTCTGGCCGACACGCTGTTTACCTGGTGAGGAAAAAGCACAAAGACAAGTTTGGAGAACTAACACCAGGCTTCTGCTGGTACATTCTTAAAAAGGGTCCAAATAACATTATAAAACACTTTGAGAAAAAACACATTTTTGGAGTTATATAGGTTTGTAATGATATGATTAGGGATGCCAGCTATAGTAGGTAACAGGTTTACTGTAAAAGAGTCAAACAGGTTGGATCATACATGAAACATGCAGCAGTTGTACATAGTATCCAATCCTAAACAGCCAAGCTGAACAAATACTTGCAGTAGCTGCTGACTGATTTTAATCCCATGTTCAGGGAGATTTTGTGGGCCAGAAGTATTAATCACCTCAGTCTGTGTGATGGAACTCTCCAGCTGGGTAATCTGAGCCAAAACTGTGTCCTGGTTGGACAGAATGTAGTTCATCTCCTTTGTAATCTTCTCCTGTCAAATTAACACCGAATACGTGACACAGAAACAACAAATGCACGCAGATTATCAGTTTCACACAGCCACACATCTGCATTATCTTGCACACTATGCTTGTCTAACAGTTAAAGCTGCATTACTGTAGCTTTTTAAACAGCACTGCATCATTTTTATCTTTACCTTCATTGCATTTGCTGGTTGTATTTCAAATGTTAGTGAAGTGCAAAACTATTTTAGAGATCTGGACTTAGTCTAATTGGCGCAACAATTCCTCCATGATAGCTCAGAATCTCATCTCTGCAGTCTTGCGTGAAAGACTTGGAGCAGAGTCGCTACTTCTCCAAATAAAAAGGAGCGAGTTGAGGTTGTTTATCTGACCTTGTCAGATGGCACCTGGGTGAGGTGTTCCAGACAAGTGAAAGAAGATGGAAGGATAGATAGGGACAGGAATCAAGAACCGGTTCTCTAGTCCAGTTCCTTGGAATTGTTAGTCTGCCTGCCGATCGATCCTGTTTATCGGTTGCATTTGCACTTGTGCAACAATCAGCTGATTTCGGCTTGTTTGTCAGAGGAAGCAGTGAAGCAGTCTTTGACTACTATAATATATTATTTTAACCTGTGAAATGGAGGGTTTCACACTATTCACATATATGCTGGCTTCACTACTACATTCTTTGTGTGTATTCCTGCCTCTAGTAAACCTTTCACTGTGCGGGACAGAGATAGATGTCAGATTGTGAGTCAAACCTTCAGCGCTTGGTACGCCTGGGCCACTGGGAGGATTTTATGTCCGGTGTGAATGCGGCGCAGTTTGCAGAGGGGGCAGAGCAGCCGCTGACATGACCGACAATAGAACTGCAGCTTCTCCTGGTCGTGTTCTGGACAAGTCAGCACCTGAGCGAGACAGGCAAAATAGATGAGAACAATTTAATCTGAGGCACATTTTACTGAGTAGAAGAAAACAGGAATGTAGCACACAAGTGTGAGTATGCCTGGGTAATTTATTGATTTGCCTTTTACTAAGCAGCAAAGAGCAAGTGGAGGGCTCTGAAAAACAAAAGTAAAGTAAATGTAAAGGGGTCTCTGTATTTTCTTCTTGTGTTGTTACAATTTAAGTGGGTCAGAAATCCATATTTTGCACATGGAAAGAAACCATAACTGTTCCATCCATGCAGTCTTATGATAATGTAGAATTACTGTCCTTTATGCAACTTGAACTGTGCCTCACATGGCAATCACACTTTCTATATAATGCAGTGCAATATAACTACACTCGATTTACCACTTATTTAACAACATATACAATTAATACTTATAAACCCTCAGCAAAGCATGTCTTGTTGAAAAGTGTAACAAAAGACTTCATGTCTGCTGTCACTTATGCTTTATTTTAGCACAAGCAGATGTGGATGAACAGTATGCGTGTGTCAGTGTTTCAGTACCTTTGGTCTGAAGTTGAGTGTAGGCTGGATGTGCTCATGCTGCGCCCGTGGCGTTCCCCATGGGTGATAGAGTTTGAAACACTCATTGCAGAAATTAGACCTGCAGTCAGCACAGCCCTTGGTGGCTTCCAGAGTTTGAGGCGGCTTACAGAATTGGCACATCACAGCCACACTGCCCAGACTCACCGTGTGTCTGTACCTGAGAAAGGTAAGCGAGAAAGAGAAGACAGACTGATTTAGCCTCACGTTATTGAGCTCGTTCCACCTTTTTTTTTTTTTTAAATGAAGTGGGACCTGGCAACCAAGCAAATAAAGGATTAATGAGTTGAATATTTGGACATGAAATAAATTCTCATTAAAGGAACACAAATGTTTATAACAAAGAGTGAGTCGAGCCCATGGGTGTGCTTGAGACAAATGGTAATGAGCAGGTGATGAATGGAAAGCTGTGGAAACATGCGGTCAGCCAGGGTAGCTACAGCATGTTGCAGTGCACGCTCAGTGCTGGTTCAGCTGCTGAATACTGACAATAAGTTTTGGACCTGTTCCCATACCTTCTGCTTTTCAGGTCTAAGTCCTCTCCTTATTTACATTTGTCCATAAACATCATGAGCACTGAAGGACATCAGCAATCTGTAGGGTTATCTAACTGTTTTTGTCATGAATCTGTACTCAAATAGCATCTTTCTGCTCAAGTTAAACACAGAAAGCACTTTTTACTGCAAGTCTCATTCGCTCAGTCACATACACGATCATTTTTCTAATATTCATTCATCTGAAGGAGCTGGGGTTCGATCCATTGACCTTGAGATGGCCTGCTCGACCACCTGAGCCACAGCTCCCAATCTTCTGTTTGCAGATTGAGTCTATACTTACCTCTCCACTATACGCTCCAAGGTGAGGTTGCGCAGACAGTCAGTAAGGCCTTTCTCTCCCAGCTCAACATCTCTGCCGCAGGGGATACAGGGGAACATCATCACCAAGGGTGGACCTTCCTTACGGCGTCTACCTGGGTACGTCCCATAACCGGGAGACCGTGGCATGGATGGTGAAGGGGGGTGTGGACCTTAAACAAAAAAGTAAAACCAGTTATAAACAAAGAAAATTAAGGAAAATCATGGTTGCCATTTCTTTTAGTTTAGGTTATAAATGGAGAGAGGTACTACAAACCTGAACGCAGCACGCGGTCGATGGGCCGTTGTTCATTTTTAGGTGTGGGCCTGCGTGCCTGACGAGGTGAACGGGTGTTGGGTGTGGAGGCTGGTGAGTTGGGTTCTGGTGGAAGCTCTGGAGGCGGGTATCCATTTGCTACCAAGACCTCGGAGGCACACAAGAGACAGACGCTGTGCAGGCATGGCAGGACCACAGGCTGTTTAACTATTTCCTTACACACGGGGCAATGCAACTCATGCTCCAGGCTCTTCATGTTAGACTGTTGGAAGCAAACAAGCAAAGGATGACTATCTGCACATGGTGCTGTAGAGAAAAACAGGCTGAGTATCCAGACATCCTGAAGATGATTGTGTTTAGGAACGCAGCACACAGACACCTGACTGTGCACAAAAAAAACTTTAACTTGAATAAATGGAACTAAAATTTGCCGGCAGCATAAAAAGCTCTCAAACATGAATGCCAATGGAATTGATTAAAATCTAAAACTATCCAATTATAGCATAAAGATGCAAAATTAAGACTATGACTCAGCCAAATGTCGTTTTATACTTAAGAGCTTTGATTCTTACTTCTATACATACATTTTTACTCAGTACCAGAACAGCATTCAAGTTTTAGACCAGTCCGACTTGCAGATGTACAACTGAGGGGAAACGGCTTCACAGCAGATACCCTGAGAAATACTTAGCAATGTGAAAAAGATGTGCCACACAGGCGACACAGGGTGCCAATCTTGTTAAATATGGATTAAGATGAGGCATTAATTATTCAACCACCCATCTCTTAAATCACAGCCATGCATGTGACCATGAGCCAGTAGCCACATTTCTTTATGACTCAGAAATTCTATAACACACTTGTTTCTAAGAAATTTCGTAAAAATGTGTAGTAATGTGTAATATTAGCACGCAAAATCAGGTTTGATAATGCATTTGTCTTTTTTTATACATTACTGCCAATGCAGCACCTTCGCTTTGTGAAACTACAGCAAACAGACCTGGATGGCGAATCAAAACTCGCACCTCTGGAGCACCTAACGCGTGCTCTGCTCAAGGACATGGATCTGACAGAAAAGGACACTGACTATTGCATAAACCTGTGACTTTACCACTGCAGTCACTCTGATCTGATAAAAGATTAATTCCACTCTCATTACATCCTGGTCTGTGTGAAAAATACACAGATTTTATGTCCAGTGATGTTAAGAATAATAATATATTTTATTTGTTGTCCTTTTCCCAGTCATGAGAACCCCCCTTTGCTTTGTGGATGCCCTTGACACAGAACCTACTACCAAACTGGTTGCAGGGCATCACAGACATTATGAGTTAACTTCAAAACCAGGACAAAGCAAACAGACTGACAGTGCTGCATAGGGGATTTGGGGATTGTGTCACTGTGATGTGATATGATGCCACCATCAGGGCTATTTAAACACAAAGATCATGCATAGGGTTGCAGAACAATTGGAATATTATGAAGGGAATATAAAAAGGAAAGGTCTACATTCATACAATATAGCCGGATGAAAAAATCTGTGCAGATACTGGCTGATAGCGCACCATCTACCCAATTTGCAGATAGCACCACCTTAGTCAAATTAGAATTACACGGAGAGAACTGGCGGATAGCGACGACCTGCACTGAAGTATAAAACTGGATTAATGCTAATAACCTCCTTCCTCCCTCAGTCCACCTCAGTCATTTTCTCCAATGTCAGCTCTGGCCTATCTTTTTCCTCATCCTCTAGCAGCTTAGCCTATCGCATTTTCAAGCACCTCCGATTCCTGCAGGCTGAGCGCACAGCTACAAACTGTGGCTCTCTACCTCCATCTCACACGCACAGTCCGCACTGCTGCTGAGGCCGGCGGGGAAAAACAAGCAGCGCATCCTTACCTTCACCTGGAATCTAGGCGCCATGACAGCATTTCCAGGATCAGAGCAGTGTCTGTGTAGTGCAAAGAGGGGAGGGGTTTGAGCGATTACAACGACCTCCTAGCGCAGGTACGATGGGCTCTGGAGGAAGCGGGCTATGGCGACGGAAAAGATAACGCACGTGACTGCCTTTGACTGCTGAACGTGCTCTGTGTGCACCTCTAAGACCACTCCACCACGCTCTGTTGGAGCCGTGTCTAAAAATTACCTCTAGGTTTTAACCCTGCAATGCTTGATGCTCCCAGATGCATCGATACACGTTTTTTTTATTTGTCTCAGCAGCAGCCCCGAGTCCTGCATCTCGTCTCCATGGAAACGAGCATCCAGAGTGCCGAAAAAAGAAACGTGTCATTTGGGTCTGCACCCATGCTATTATTTTTTTAATGACATTATAATTGCCACATTTGAATGGAGGTTAAGCTCAAGTCCGATATGTAGGCTACCGACTATAGCTCATTAATGTCGGTAAAGCAAAAATCGAAGAAGATCAATATTTAATTGGCTAAAGATGATAAGAAAAATATGTTTTAGTTTTATTTTATTTCAGTGGACTTTAATTGAGGTTCAGAAACAGATAGCACACGGATTGGGCCCATGTGATAGAGACACTCCGCCGATAATTCGCTTTTTCCCTTTAAAACATGATAAAACATGATAGCTACTCTTTATTTAAAAGAAATAAATAAATACAAATTCATACTCCACGTTATATTCAGCGTATATCAACTAACAGCACAATGTCACAGATATACACTTACGGTGGCGCGAACCAAGGCTTCCATCGCTGATGTGGCTGTTTTTAAATCCATCTCTGCCATTTTAAGAGCATAGCTTCCCCCTGTTTTCATCATCTGGAAATAGATTGTGGTGTGTCCAGGCCGATGGCCATGTAACACATATTAAGAACGCGAAATATGCCGAAAATATGTCTCGAATATAGAAGTGTTTTGGATATTAATATTATTTTTTTCTATTAGATGTTTAATTTGGACATTTTTACGCGCGTTAATTACCGACTGATAATAAGCACCTTGTGCTGCTTTTAGGCATAAAAACAAAACGCTTTCTGGAAAAAAAAAATCTGAATTTGTTCTTAATTTACGAGTACATCCACGCCGAATAGCTACTACTAAAAGATGCCTGTGGCTTTATTCCTCACGCAGGCATCCCTCCCCCTACGTTTCCCATCCTGCACCGGATGCCCTCAGCTGATGCGGAACACAGGGAAAATCGCTGTAAATCCAGGAACCCATTCCTTAATAACTCAAGAACGTAGTGGGGGAAAAAACAGTATTTGTCGGTTTAAAACTGATTTCCGGGATTTAAAATGTTGTAAAGGAGTCGTTGGCCTAGACTCTGTCGAACACATCTCTCGCGGATGATGTCAGTTTGAGCCAGAAAAAAACAATCATATCATAAGATAGAAGCTGCAACCAGCTTTTGGCAAAGGGAGTTTTATATATCTTTTATTGATCAGGGCAAAAACTCTCACTGACTTATAAAAATGTATTTTTCAGGAGCGATCACGCCAAGAGGATAGCAGAAATTGCAACAAATTTAACAGTTCTACAATGATAATATAAATAAAGATATATGCTGACGGCAATGCAGACACAGAGTAGGTAAAACAACACAAAGTCATAAATATACTCGGGAAAGCAGCTACTTTTTGTGTTTTGTATACAAACTCTTTCATAACTCCTGTTGACCAGAGGCTATTTACTAACGTAAGCAAAGATATAGTACATAAAAATAAATTAAAAAGGACAAACATCAGAAATCACTTTTTTTTCAAGTTTTAGGATCCTCAGATCAAGTTTAGTTGTTGAATTTTCTGAGGATACATAAATTTATTTTTATGTACTATATCTTTGCTTACGTTAGTAAATAGCCTCTGGTCAACAGGAGTTATGAAAGAGTTTGTATATAAAACACAAAAAGTAGCTGCTTTCCCAAGTATGATTTTGTGTTGTTTTACCTACTGTCTGCAAACTACAGTATATAATGACCAAAGTCTGGAATCTGTAGGCTAAAATACGCTACTTCAGAAAGTAGCCAGAATGAATCGTCCTACAGCTATGTTACAAACGCCGTTCCCTCACTTGACACCAGTTGCTCTCGTCTGCTCCCTTGCAACAATGCTCTTTTATTGAGGTTACATGAAGATACATAAGTTCATTAACATATGACGTATACATACAAACAAAGAGTACCTTGCCTGTGTGTTGTGTAAATGTGTGGGTGTGTGTGTGTGTGTGTGTGTGTGGGGGGGGGGGGGGGGGGGGGGGGGTGTCAGAATGTGACCCCATAAACGACCTCCCTAAACCTGCTGGTCTGGAAGTCCAGCAGTTCATCTAAACAAAAGGCACTCAGACTAAAACAGATATAGATATGTTTATCCAACCATGAAACAATAAGATCAAGGACCTGATTCTGGACTATTGCGCCAATTTCAGGCTTAGGGTCACTTCTGGGGCAGTTACTTCATGCTGGCACCGCCTCGGGAAAGGTATAATAACAGGCTGTACCATCTCAGTTACGCTCTTTGCCCTTGCAATGAACATGGTGGTAAAGGCTGCTGAGGTGGAGTGCAGAGGGCCGCTAACAAGGTCAGGTGTTCGTCAGCCCCCTATCAGAGCCTATATGGATGACCTCACCATTACAACATCATCAGTCCCAGGATGTAGGCGGAGCTTGCAAGGACTTGAGAAACTCATCTCATGGGCAAGGATGAGTTTTAAACCTTCCAAGTCAAGATCTATGGTACTGAAGAAGGGCAAGCTCTCAGGAACCATTATTCCATCCATAACGGAACAACCAGTCAAGAGCTTGGGGAAACTCTTCGACTCCAGCCTGAAAGACTCTAATGCCATTCAGAAGGCAAATGAGGAGCTGGGAGTGTGGCTCATTAAGGTGGATAAGTCCGGCCTGCCTGGAAGATTTAAAGCCTGGATCTACCAGCATTCCATCCTGCCCCGAATCCTGTGGCCCCTGCTTGTCTATACAGTTCTAATAACTATTGTGGAATAAATGACAATCCAACAATACAAATCTAACAAATGCAATAAGCAAAAACTGGATTGTTCTTCAAAAAGACTGCCATAGCTATTCACATGTCTCAGTGTTTCCTCCACAGGTGGAAAGTTTCCTGACAGGTGTGTTCAATAATGACCTAACCAGCTCTCTGTTGGGTGTGTAGACTACTTCCTTATATTAAAATTCCTGTTTGAACAATGAACATGAGATATGCATGCCTCAGCTGTGTTTGACTCGGTCAATGTGTTTCATTACAAAACTGCCGCTTTACTTCAAGCTGTCGCTAGCAATCAGAAAGTGTTTCTTTTTGTCTTTCGTCAGATCTTTTATTGAACTGTGCAAGTATGCTCATCAACACTAGGCCAGGGGAAGAATTATAACTGCAACAAAGAAAGACCATTATTACCCACACCTGGTCAAAATGGCAAAAAGGAAAATCAACCATACTAAAATAAGTAGGCACACTATAAGTAAACCAGTTCTGAAACTGAAGCTACCAGTCCTCCAACAGAAATCAAGTATAAGAAAGCTATACCTATTTTAGTGATTGCAGTATAAGGTGGCCTCTTGAATTTGCCTGTATGCGAGGGCCTCCAGGATGGAAGCGGTTACATATTTTTAAAAAAATGCAAACCAAGTTGCTAATCAGGAAACAGACAATGGGAGTGTCACGAACACCCTTTTGAACCTCGTGGAGGTGGTTTTCTCTTCGCTCTATTGACTCTGCTGAATCCAGGTAGGAGCAGATTCTTCTGTGACTTTTTTATTGTTTAGATAGAAACTAGACAAATTTTGTTTCTTGTGGTTGAAGATTGATCTGTAATTATGTTAAACTGGCTGGTTTTTGGTTCTACTCTGACTGCATGTATTTTGTTTTAAGGTATTTGCTTCAGTGAAGCTGCTCTTCCGTTTGACATATGTAAAACTTTTAGTTAAGAATCACATTTTTAAAAAGTAAAGAATTATTGTAAGTACAGTCTATCTACATTTCTGTCCCTCTGCCGATGCATGCCAAGTAATATTTTATGATCCATTTTATTTCTTGTCCAGATTCTTGTACAGCACTGCAAACATGTCAGACCCAACAAGACTGGAAATGGCATTGGCTGCAATGTTCAGTGCCTACATGTCCTACCAAGGAGATGACAATAAACTGACCAAAGAACAATTTCTAAAATTAGTGAAGAATGAACTACCCTTACTTTCTCAGGTAAGGGAAAACATTGTACTAATTAACTGCAAATGATCACAATAACTTTGGTGACATCCAGACACTTTTGAAGTGCAATGTAAATGTTTAAGGCATAGTTTAGCATTAAAATCTAGCCCTACAAATCTATTGAGTTTGCAAATGTATCATAACAGCCTGACTAAAAGCATGGACCAAGAGATAATTTTTTTAAAATAACTAATTTAAAAAAAACAAAGTATTATTAAACTTGGCACTTTTTTTGTTGTGCAAAAAAAGTGCAAAGGTTTTTTTTGCACAACAAAAAAACTTTGCACTTGTTTCACTTTCCAAGTTATTAAATGTTTGTTTCACCTTTGCAGGGAAAAAGTGAAGATGAGCTCTTCCAGTGTGTCGACCACAATGATGATAAACGTGTGGACTTTGAAGAGTTCGCCTCACTGGTTGCTGGTTGCGCCTGTGCAAGCCATGACGCCCTCCAAGAGGTCATGAAAGAACTGGACACAAAAGGCTGCCCAAAGTAAAGCACTGCTGATGTGGAAAGAAACCCAATATAGGCCTTCCCTGGATTCACATTAAAACAATAAAGTTTGTCAAAGTCAAAGATTGTGCTTGTTTTTTCTTTAACTTAAGGATGCATAGAAATGTTTGCTAGTTGTCTATTCACACCTCTGAACTAGTTGTTTCATGTTAGGATATACCCTTATTGTCTGCTTTTCTCACTTTACCCTTATCATAGGGTTTGAAATAAACCCTATTATAAGGTTAATGTAAAGGATTACTTTGCAAAAAGGTAATTAGATTACGGTTACTTCCCTGTTCTCTTCCACTCTATACAGCAATAACTGATATAGATGTGCTTCTGCCATAATATGTTTACAAACCCTGCCTGCAAATGTTCACGTTTTCAGAAAAATTGGAGATTAAAAGAAATTAACTGTCTCTTTATCTGAACAAACATTTTAAATGGTCTTCAGTTAATAGGTACGCTTCATCAGACACTAGAAGGCAATAAATTAGTTGCCTTCTAAATTGTTTATTACCATTAGTTGCACAGTAACCAGGTAGTCTCAGTGTGCAGCAAATGGCCTTGAGGTGCTATTATCTTTAAGAAAATAAATCAATAAATGAACAAGGATAAGTCTTCAAAACACAAAGCTTTCTTTATTTGGAAAAGCTTATACAACATTGAAAGTTACAGTAGTAGAATGAGGAAACTTTGATAATGATGACAGACATGGGAATAGATGCTCAAGAGTTCCCTCTGCTGGTGAGGAATATTTCATTGTGGTCTGACATGTTTTCAGTTTGATGGAAACTCAGTTTACAGCCCACGTCAATGCTTCCCTGAGTAGCAGAACAGACATATGACTACATTGGTAAAACTGATACAAGAAATCACTGCTAAGGGAGTCTGATAATAAGAAGAGAACTGCTTTAACCAAGAAACAAAACTCTGGAAATCTGGACTGACGAGTACTGTACTTGTAGCTCTTTCAGTTAAAATTATGTATTTATGGATAACAGCAAGAAAAATACCGATCATTGATACATAGCGTGATCAAATAGGTTAAAATAACAAAAGTTGAGTGCAGGAAAAATTGCAATGAGGTATTTTGGTGATTTTTATGTTCAATTGTGTCCTTTTTCTCCTTTGTTAGTAAAATGAGACACAAACCTCTAAAAAAAAAAGAAAAAAAAAGACAGAACGGATCGAGTTGTTATTCAAATACAGCTTTAACACTTGGCTGCAAAGCGTGCCATTTGTAATACCCTGTTTTCACCACAATGTGGCACACTGTATCCACCTAGCTATCTGTCGTCCATCTTTGATATAAAACGCTTTTCAGGATAATAGGAGTAAAGGTTCAGGTTATGATAGGAATATAAATGCAGATAATATGAGACAAAACAGTCCTTGAAGCCACACTGGCTGGATTGCCTCTGTTGTGGATGATAGCTCTAGTTTGCAGAATTGATCTTGTACTCAGCAGAATGCTGCTGATTGGCTCTTCTTTAGGTATCAGTTAGTCTTACAGGTAAATTACAGATTTTCGAAATTACAGTGTTTATTATGAGAGATTAACATAAAAAGGTAGAGCGTGTGTGTGGGAGGTGGGCGGTGGAGAGGGGCGGAGGGTCAGTTAAACCGGTAGCCTAAACTTTAATGAAACTTTATCTTAAATTCCACAAAAACGGCTTTTAGCTCTTCTATCAGCAGCAATAGTAACTTTTTCCTTGTTTTTAAATCAGATGACTGAACTTAAGCTAAAGTCGTACTAATATATTTACTGTCCTATTACAAACCTTTCCAGTGTATTAACTGTTCAGAGTCCAGCGTCTGCAGAGCCACAGTGTGAGTCAGTGCGCACAGCCAGGGCGGCGCCTGACTATAAAATCTCTGTTGCTTGTTGCAGACGTCTGAACATTTGCACCTCTTCTGTTGCCACGTCCCAGCAACTGTACGGTAAGAAACTTTCTGCTCTTGTCCTACAGGTGTGGCTTTGCCACGATGTTTTTTTTAAATATAAACTTTAGTTGCTAAAACATACAGATATACAGCTAGGAGGTGTGAGAATAGTGTTTCATACTGTTTAACCTACTTTAATCCGCTCCCAGTCACTGCTTTGTATTTACTGAAGCTCCCTCTGTGAATTTCTAACGGTATCTAACGGATCCGTGTATTTCCTCTGCTGTTAACTAAGTTAGGCTCCAACTTTTAGTTAGTTTATCTTGTTTCTTTCTCTTGTTTTCAATCTTTCACTATAATTACACTTTAATTGTTTTTCCAGTGTTATGATTATTTTTATTAATAAAATATATAATTAACATTTTTACATTAAGCTCTGATTCACATTTAAGACAGTTAACTAGGTCTCCATATAGTAAATATAAGCCTTTGTAAGGGTGTGGTTGGACTGTGGGCATGTACACACATGTGCTTGTTCCTGCAGTGTCCTATCTCATTACTCACATTGAATCCCACCATTTTGGGTCTAACTTTTTTCAGTTCAAGTTGTTCACATTTTCCATTCTCTTGCACACAAATAACACACCCTCCCTCCTACTTCTCCTTTCTTTTAACTCTTACAGCTACAAAGACAGTAACTCAAATGTTGAGATTTTCTGTATTTTGCACAGTGGTTTACTAAAATTTCAATGACATACCTTTACTGTCTTCCCACGAGCATCACTCATCAGTGAGAAGTAAAACAAAGACCCAAATGTGTCAGTTCCATCAATAATGGATGAGTTTAACAGCATCTCAACCAAAGCAGCTTTCATAAATGCTTTCTATGGACTTGTTTGGAAAATGTCAGCTGAAGTTAAACTGACTTGCTATCAGTTGTCATAGTCAACATTTTCTGAACATTGTTTTTCAGTCTAAACACATTCCAGCAACCATGCCTTCAGAACTGGAAAACTGCATGGAAGGACTCATCAAGGTGTTCCACCGTTACGCCAAGGACGGTTCGCTCACCCGGCAAAACCTCAGACAGCTAATGGAGGCTGAGCTTTCCAGCTTCCTTAAGGTGAGATGAGACCAAAACGTAAATTGTGCAATCACACTGCGCATCATTTACACACTGTAATCCAATACTATGCCACTTCTTGTGCAATCTCACTGTTGCTGATGTATCCTCACACACCCTTTTTTTAAACACAGTGTCAAAAAGATCCTGCTGCTGTAGACAAGATCATGAAAGACTTGGACGCCAACGGTGATGGTCTTGTGAACTTTGAGGAGTTTGTTTCTCTGGTTGTTGGACTGTCTGTTGCATGTGAGCAGTGCTATCAGCTGCAAATGAAAAAGACTGGAAAGAAGTAGGAAGTACAACAGTGGAAGAGAAGCGACCAAAAAGCATTGCTTTTTGTTTTTTTTTTGTAAAGTTTTGTTCATTAAAAGTGCTGAATCATTTTAAATCTCTTGTGTCTTGTGTTTCCTAACTATCTAATCTTTAAGTTAGACAGATTTGTCCATAAATCCCCTTCAACTTTTTATACATGTGTTTTTTTTAAGCAAGCACCAGAACCATTTCCATTTGAGAAGCTGGTAAAGCTTAATCCAGACAGCTTTCTCTGTTGGCTTTGTAACTGAGTGAGTACTTTATGTTTCCCCGAGTGTTAAAGGGCAGATGAGCCACTCCCTCCCAGACAAAGTCCCTGCTTTATCACTGCTCTGAGGAATCTGCTGAATGTTGTAGGCATGAACACACCTCTCTCAGTGAGGCATAAACTCTCAGAGGATGTTGCAACTCTATGACTAAAACGGGTGATAACATTGCCTAGTCAGTTTGATTTGTATTTTGCAAGCCCTCAACTGACTCACAAGAACAGCACATCACTGTTCTTGTGCAGATCACAAAAATCCCACCATGTTTCATGTCTGGTGAAAGTTGAATAACACCAGAGAAAGAGGAACAAGATAACCCCTTCACCACCCATCTCTCATTATTCTTACTGAACAGAACAAATATCTTTTCTCTAAAACGAAGTCTTCCAGGCAGCCCTACCTCTCAGGAATGCTCCAACAATCAAATCTGTTATTGGTAGACTGTGAGCCACTGTTTACTATGATGGCCTGCCGATCCCAGTGAAGTCATCAAAGCTTTTACTGCCTGAGAAAAGCCTGCCTGAAAGGCTAAGCCCAGGAGGAAGAGGTCTTCTTGAGCTCTTGGCAAACACTGCTTTGGACAGGGCTTAACTACTGGTTTGTCAGTGTTCATGGATACTGGGAAAACACTGAAGTTGCTATGTGACTATGTGATGAGTCTTAAGTGTGTGCGTGTGTGTGTAGCTAAAGTTTGCACCACTTGGTTTACAGAAGCACCACACCCATGTGACCCACAGCTGAGATTCCGAGACTGCTGCTTTTTCAGTGCATTTCCTTGTGTTTAGTGCCTCCTGCAGGCTATATGTTTATCATGTTGCCTAAAAGAAAAGAAAATCATCATTTGTCTAGATGAATTACTCTTTGATCTTACCAGACGCTGATCGGTGACACCACTGTATGTGTCATGTCTAGTTTTCTAACACAGACTTTCTAATATAGTAATAATGAAATTTGTCGCAACATTTTTCTCACTGAAATAATCCTGCATGCTTTTGGTTTTAAAGTTGCTCAAGTCATTCCTGGCGGGGGCGTTCTGTGGTGTGAGTTCGGGGTGTACCAAATATTCACTGTGGCATGCCACGCCCATCTTGGACACACCAAAAAAAAAAAATCCCCTCTCTGTGGAAACTTGTTAAACAATAACATTAATGTCCAAAACATACCAACCATCCCCAACGTCCAGTCTGCATGCAGATGTTGCCATGGGAAATAACTATTGTGAACCTGATACTGATTCAATTCACAGTTACATTTAGTTGTATGTTTTTTTTATTCCCAGTGTTCAAATGTGAGCATTTGAAACCAATAGACATTTAAATCCCACAGTTTAAAACCTATACTTGGCACTTTATCCAAAACATTAATATCACCTGCTTATTGTTTTGTAGGTCCTACTCAAGCTGCCAACACAGCTCTGTCCCATTGGACCTGCGTGTTTGGGAGAGGAAACTTTGTGTCCTGCTTGATTCATCGAAGCCCAGCCCTGCAGC